TTTCTGTATCTAATGGAGCAATAAACATATTTGACGTAACTCCACTTATGCCATTCTTCCATAAGGGGTGCGAAATACGTAGACGTTCGTTGCGTTCACAGAGGACAACCGCGCAGCGCGGGCAGATATATTGTCTCGGTCCGCCCGTACCTTTCGCAGTGCTTGGTCTAGCGTCTAGCGTCTGTTTGAAATTTTGACGTGTGGATCTACCCGCTCGTAACCGCTTCGGCACTATGAAAGGGAAGACGCCAAGACCGGCGCGCCCGCACTCGCCGCAGCGCCCGCGCCTGCGCTCTGAATAAGCCCTAGGAGAAAGAAATGAGAAACCGCTCCCGTAAAGAGAAGGAACACCATCAGGTTTTACTCGATAGAAGTCCGACATAAGGGTGCGTACAGATCTGGCAAATGGCGATTCTATTCGCGTGCTACTCGCGCGCCACATCGTTAGCACGTCGCTTAAATGCTAAACCGGCACACCACGAAAAAACTTCAAAAATGTTTTTATTGCAAAAATGTGTTCAAAAACGGTCAAACTTTCATATTACACGATGACACCTAGCGATTTGGCATTATAAACAATGGAATTACGCAAATGCCTGTTTGGCATTCTGCACTATCGTTGCTAACTTTTGAGCTAAACAGTCCTTTTGTGAGTTGTATCTGTGTTTACAAATTAATAGAGCCTTAAAATACGCATCTTTTGAGTATAAATAAAAAATAAAACAATATTAAAAAATGAAGTCAAAAACTTTGATCGCCTTCATGTAAAAAAGTGAACTTTTGGCATGCGCCCGTTTAGCATTTAAGCGACGTGTATTGTATGCGCAGCGCACATGCAGCGGTTCGCGTTAGTCTTTATATTCGTCTATTCGTTTTAGTCTGTGAAAATAGAACCTATGCAGTTATATGCAGTAACGCACACGACGCGCAAAAAGTCCGGCGCACAAAAAATCCGTGTAATTCGGGCAGACCGCACCGCGCCGCTCCGCACAAAAAGTGTGTGAAAAACATTGAACGTTTGCTTCAACGCGCGCTAACGCAGACGGCGCACACTTTAGTCGGCAATCTGCATTTGCTAGGGGTGGACGTAACGCATGCGATTATCATGGCGCCAGAGGTCGATGTAACTATGTTAATTCAAGAAATACAAAACAGACCAGCAATTTATGATACTTCTAAGGCAGAATATCATGATAGACATTTAAAAAGAAAAATGTGGGAAGAAGTGTGCTGTAATGTTTATTCCGCTCCTGTTTGGACATGTTTGATCTCTTCTTCACTTCGCGATCTCTGCACGATTTCCATAGCGTCTACGTCCCTACAGCTCTGCCGACAAAATGAGCGAAGATGTGCGTCGTGTGCGTTGAGTCTGTGAAAAAATCCGCGACCGACTTTTTGCGCGCCATGCAGACTTTTTGTGCGCCGCAGACTCGATCGCACAAAAAGTGTGCCGTCTGCGCAGGGCTTAACCCTTCGCTCCCCCAGGCGGAGAGTATCCAGGATTTCCTCACTTTAAAAAAAAGGCCACCGTTCAGATTACCTTTCAGCGTAAGCTTACAAAATAATGCCAACATTTCGGAATAAGTCCGAGATAATAATGCTTGCCACGCAACCGGTATTACCTGTCAAAAATGACAACGTGAAATCTGTGTTCCAATCACTATGAAAATGCGTGAAAATAACAACCAAAAAATATCTCGCGTTACGTATTAATATTATTATGTGGCTAACGAGGCCGGCGTGAATTCAGTCTCCATATTTAGTAATAGGAATGTACTGCCACTTTATTTATTATCTTTATTTAGTAGCAGTAGAGCTTCTAGTCAAAGAGTTCATCCCGCCAAGCAGTAATGTCAGCATTACTGCGTTCCGGTTTAGAAGGGTAAGGGTGCTGGTGAAATTACAGGGACTGTTAACTTATGTCTCAGGGTGACGGGCGCAGTGGCAGTGCCTATCAGGTCTTTGCGATTTAAAGCTCTGAGTGGCACTGCAACTGTTATGGACAGGCGTATAGCTTTCCGTCAGGCGCACGACTTGTTCGTCCCGTCACTTAATATTATAAATAATCTCAGTACAGAGTACTAAAAAAACCGACCTCAAAAGTACGTGGAATTACATATAATTACCAAGTTTTATTGGAATCGGTTACCGGAAAGAGCGCAAACCTGGATTTATCCCCTAGTTCTCCATTATACGGGATTTGACACAGGAGATAATAAAAATCGGTTCTCACTACTCAAAGTATAATGAGAGAGAAAAACGCCTTGAATTGGAGAATAGCAAAATCGACCATTCAAATAATTGCTCCTTATAATAAAATTTAGGCGCTATTTATCTAAAAATGAATCTTCATGCGTGAACAGCCACCCTTAGAGGTGGATGATTTTCTTCAAAATGAAATGGGACCACTATGGAGGCACCCTCTTTCCAACAAAAAAAAAGAATTATGAAATTGGTTCACAAATACCGGAGTTATCGCGTAAAATACATACAAAAAAATACATACAGTCGAATTGTGAATCTCCTCCTTATTTTGAAGTCGGCTAAAAAAAAGAAAATAAAATCTATTTCTGCCGCCATGCAGCATTATGAGCATTACTGCGTTTCGCCTTTGAAGTGCAAGGTAGATTAATAACACCGTCATGCAATAAGCCTCTATGATAAAAATAAATTAAATGTATAGCGTGTCAACCCCATCTAGTGCGCCCTGACGCGTACTCGCAAGCGTCCTACACGATATCGCGACGACCACATCCTCGAGGAACTAGATTAGTCTTGTGAATGTAGATGGCGCTTCTCGCCATCGACCCACTTTTGTCAAAATATAACTTTTTCACGACCAAATACGGCAATAACGAATCGACTTCCGGTAACTTCCGTTTTCATCGTATCTCCGAGTCCGCGTTTAACACTGGTTCCAGTTAAAGGAATTTTTCATGTGCGCACGCCTTTTCTGCTGTAATTTTGTGTTAGTTCCTATTATAAGTATTTACTTATGTCGTAGTATCTGTGTAATATCTTTGTGCCCCGTTTTTTATGTCTAATAAATACCGATAGAGCTCTATCGACTGACTTATTAATTTAGTCTCGCCATAAATGTTCAAATACAGTCACAGATCAATAATTTGCCTGACACAAAGTCTTCATCAAACGCTAAACGTCGACAATCGCGCCACAAGTCTTTTTTCACATTTTTTTCTGTTTTATCGACGCATCGTAAATATTTTGTATCTATACTAAGATATCGAGTATTTAACAGTGATAGACTAGTAAAATTTTATTGTTATTACGTGTTTTAACACCAAAGTTATCCGTAAAACAGTTCATCTATCGGCTACGGTTATTTACAGTTTGCTATGTGGCTTAAACAGGAAATTAGTGATAAGAACATAAAGTTTAAAATTCAAAACTTACCTATGAAATAAAGATGGATTGAATAAACGCTATAAAACACTCCCTACTTAAGTACTAAAATGTGAGACTTACCCCGAAAGTGCCAAATTAAATAATATTACTAGGTTAGATTGGTATTAAAATTGGTACATGATTTAGGTTTTTAAATGGTAAGAGGATCAAAATTAGACGACCAGTATTTCTCGTTAGAGCAATTGAGCAGAGAGTGGCGATTGAACGAAACAAAATGAGACTGGCGAGGCAAAGGAATTCAAGAACGATAAGTGGCCAGGAACCAGAGAAAAGGTCATAAAAAGGTGGGATGACGATGGCAGGAGGTCACATCGTCAGAATTACATTCTTAGAGACATTTTAAACAGTCCAGCAAGTTTGACGCTAACATTCTGAAGCTGACGACTTCTCTTTCAGATAACGTCTTGTTTCTTCTCGTTGCTGTCAGCATGTACAGTCAGCAAGTAGTTTCCGCCGGCCTACAGACTATCGAACAGCTGAAGGCCGAAAGAAACCCCTGACGACTGTACATAGTCTTCTGGAAGTCCTTCAGTTTTCTTTCTTCATTGACCTTCTTCACGATATAGTATATATACCAGCACCCTTAACCTTCAAAACCGGAACACAGTAATGCGAGGCAGAAACATGGTAAGGTTGCGTTCACTACACTGACTTACCTAAAAGGAATGAGCAAGAAACTCTAAAGATTGCTCGTTTCAAATAAACTTAAATGCTATGGATGATGTCTCTCCATACTATCTTTATTTAACACATACTCTACAATTTTGTATTAAGACTTTTCATTTAAAATATTTTTAATACAAGTTGCAGGAGCTTTAAATCGTAAAGATCGCAGGGGCACTGCCAATACGCCCGTCTCTCTGAGACATAAGTTGATAAGTCCCTTGTGCCTGTAATTTCACCAGCTAACCCGGAACGCAGTAATGCTCACATTACTGCTTGGAGGCAGAAATAGGTAAGGAGGCAGTACTACCATGGACGAATTCTTTTACAGGAAATTGTTACTGCTATAAAATTGAAAGCTCGTATCGCACCCTTGGTATAATAACGCCACACGTTGCTTACCACTAGGCGCACGAATTGCTCGTCCTCCCACTTGGTAATTTAATAATCTCAGTACAGAGTACTAAAAAAACCGACCACAAAAGTACGTGGAATTACGTCTATTTGCTAAGTTTTATTGAAATATCCCCTAGTTCGCCACAGAACTTGACACTGGAGATAATAAAAACAGGTTCTCACTAAGACACTACTCAAAGTATATCGAGAGAAAAACGCCTTGAATTGGAGAAATAGCAAAATCAACCATTAAAGTAATTGCTCCTAAATTAAAGTTAGGCGCTACTTATAAAAATGAATCTTCATGCGTGAACAGCCACCCTTCGAGGTGGATGATTTTCTTCAAAATGAAATGAGACCACTATAAAAGTACCCCCTTTCCAACAAAAAAAGAATCATGAAAATCGGTTCACAAATACCGGAGTTATTGCGTAACATACATACAAAAAAAAGAACATACAATCGAATTGAGAATCTCCTCCTTTTTTGAAGTCGGTAAAAAAAATACTACTTACTTTAGTCCAGCGACAATCTCCATTGCGCCGTTGAAGTTGCCGATATTCCAACAGGTTAAGGCTACCCTCAACACACACGCCAGAGTCGCCTTCCGTTCTTCTGATGTTGGTTGGCAGAGGACCAATTCTGTCACCCACGCTGACACCTGGGGAAAAAGAATATACTTAAATAAAACGAAAATACCTCAAAACTTTTATTGAAATCTATTAAAGGAAAGCGGATAATAACGCACACACTAAATTAATAACGCACACACTCAACATAGTCCCTGTGTCGCGGGTGCCATGGACACACACATAGACAACCACAAATTACACCCAAACTCACGAGAGAAATAATTGTAGGCCATACAACTATTTCTCTCGGCCCGGGAATCGAACCTGGGACCTCTACGTGGCAGTCCGACATGGTAACGGTTCGGCCACGGAGGCAGTTAATGATGAAATCCAATACACCGGATACATCCCCTAATTTGCCACCCTTAGAGGTGGAATATTATCTTCAAATTTAAATGGGTGGTCCCATACTGAGGTACCGTCTTTCCAACAAAATAGAATCACCTAAATCACTTCACAAAATGTCAGAGGAATCGTGAACATACACACAAAATATTATAGTTGCAGTAGAGCTCTTTGTGAATGAGTTCGTCCAGGGAAGTACTGCCACCTTACCTATATCTGCCACCAAGCAGTAGTGTTGGCATTACTGCGTTCCGGTTTAGAAGGGTAAGGGTGCTGGTGAAATTACAGGCACATGGGACTTGTCAACGTATGTCTCAGGGCGACAGGCGCAGTAGGAGTGAACCTCAGATCTTTGCGATTTAAAACTCTGAGTGGCAGTGCAACTGTTGTGTACAGGCGTGTACCTTACCATCAGACGCACGACTCGTTCATCTCGTTACTTGGTATTATAACAAAAAACAAAAATACAGTCCAATTGAGAAACCATTCCTTTTTTCAAGTCGGTTAATAAGACAGATTACTGGGGACCTATCGCAACCTCTTGAAACAATATTAATTTAACCTTACTTTGACTTTTCGTACCATGACGCGCATAAAGTAAGCTTATTATAATGTTAAAACTATGATGTTTTATTGGCAGCTTTTTGACTATTTATTCACTCAGTTCGTACTATGACGCGACTTTAACATTAAAGTAATATTGTTCTTATGTCAAATTTAGCAATCTTAAAATAGTTACTCATACGCAGTGGAAACAATATTATTTTCGAATTTAATGTCTAAATATTGATTTGTAATGATTAAAAGTTAAGTTGAACTTATTTACGTCATCAATCTCTTCAATATTTTGTTTATTTTTTATATAATATTGTATAGGAAATAATTTCTCGTTAAATAAAAATACGCGATGCTTATTTCGTAAAATTATGACAGCGACATCTATATGCTCCTTAGTGACATTAACAGTTGACACTAGACTAGATTCCAAATTCACAACGTGACTATCAAGACTCAGTTTTGTTTTATTTATTTTTCTTCATGAAATGCGGAAAAATAATTGAAAACAACGTAATTTTAATATATTTTATTATTACATACTTTCCTTTTTTTAACAGTTACAATTCTCTGAATGTAAATAACATTAATTACCTAAACATTACACTTAAGACGATTCGGAACATCAAAAAAGAAAGAGATAGCAATATATAGTTCCTAAAGCGTTATTTCTTTCCTATTTTTAGTAAGGAATAGACGATATTGCGATATCATTCGTTCTTTCAATCACTTTAGCAATAATACATTACTTGGTTGACAGGTTTGTCATGGTACGAATATGAGTGATATTATAATAAGCTTATTTTAAGCTTACATTGAAATAAGATTGTTTTTGGAAGGTTTACGGTACGCTCCCCGGAGGAAAAAAGTTGTGGTAGTCGAGTGTCGTGGGTTCAAATCCGAGCTTGAACCTCTTAGGGACTTATGTGCGAAATTTAAATTAAATTGGAAGATCTGTATCCAGCAGTGGAACTATATAAGCTAACGGGATGAATAAGTTGTGCGCCTGGAGGTGAGCGGTCACATCACTGCTTGGCGGCAGAAATAAGCAGGATGGCAGTACTTCCCTGGAGGAACTCTCTCACAAGGCGCTCTTCTGCTACTAAAGCGCCACGTCGAAATCTTACCACCATTTTACACCCCTACCCTTAACATATAACATCATAGGCAAGTAGTACTAAACATGACAAAAGGGGTACAGATTATATTGTCGCACTTCTAAATGCTTGTGTGGAGCACAATCCCGTTATATAACTTGTATTGGCAGGGTGACCATTGTTTCATAGTTTTTGAAATTTTTCAAAAATTATTCATAGGTACTGTATTGTTGTAATATTGATTGTTATAAATATTAGGATCTTTTACTACCACGACATTATAGTACATTATTGCAGTGGCCGGGAAGTAAGGGATTGCTGGACGAGTATGAGTTAAAAGGACGAATACGAGTCAAGCAATCCCCGTTCCCGCCGAGGCATGTATAGTATTTTTCTCAAAACAATGTGAGGAAATAATGAAAGACTAAAGAGAGGAAGATATATAATTGAAAAAGTAAAATAATATTAAAACTAACATTTGACGTGTTAGAACAATTGCTAATAGAAAATGTTATTGATTTCTCATAGATGGCGCTACGGCTAAAAAGCCATTAAAAACCATATACAAAGATCTGACAAACAAGTACATAGAAGAATTCGTGAGGTCTGCTGGTTCGTTCTTTGGCTTAGTTTGCATAGCGTATGGCACGGTTTGCTAGGAGACGTCGTCGGTTCGAATCCGGCCGGATCGAAGTAAGATTTTTTTCTAAGTGTTGAATTTATTAGGTAGGCACCAAACCTATACAACTATACACACAACGGAGAAATCTAATTGAGTAATTTTCTTTATATGTGACATTTGTTACGTAAGAACGAATTTGTGAAATTATAATTGACATGCAAAGAGGCCGAAACGTTGCTTTGTTTGAAGAAACCAATACGCAATTTATATCTAAAAATTAGTTTCATTTCCGATGATGATGTCTCCTAAATTGGTCTTATCGGGATTCGACCCCCAACTCGGTAATGGATTAGGCGCTGACGTATTTAAATTATGTCCCAATATTTACAGTAATGAATTGCTTTGGGATGAAGATGAAGTTTGTATACCTAAGGCAATGGAATAATCCTACAAAGACGTTATCTTCTTTACATTTCCGCCCACCGTTCTTTTCTAATACAAGCTCCATATTTGTTTAATAAAAGTGTACCATCTTTTTTTTTTCAACCATTGTTATGTTTGTGTCTGTGAATGTTCTTTGCAAATTATTCTTCTACTAAATATTTATTCTGAATCCACTTTCGTTGAGAATACAAATGGTTTTTTCTTAAAAAAATACGAACTTTTGTCTTTCGTAAGTGAATTTCATTACAAAAATTTCGAAACGAAATGGTAGTGAGTTTTTTAACCATACCATAATAAACTTGTGTAATTAAAAAAACAGGTCGCGAGTTCTCCGGACAATTCTGGTAATTAGAACGGGTATACCCACAGCTAAAGTCTGTTCTAATCAATGGAGTGGATGGAATTTCTGGCATAATGATGCCAGAAATAAAAACAAACCGGGTTGGTTAAAATTCTAAAGCAATCACTCAATAAATGGAATAAGTAACACTTTCACGTATATTTTGAAGATTTCGACTTGATATCTCATCACTATTCCCAGCAATATTAATTTGAATAACATTTTAAAATCTAATTTGAAAAACGTTAGTTCAAAAGTGATTAATAATCAAATATAGATTTGTGAATAGTCTATGGTTGCATAGGGTTCTACGGAATTCAGGTCTGTACAGCCGTCGTTCAGTCAGTCAGCCTGGTTATACAATAAGTTTCAACAAACAAGAACATACATTTTTTAGGGTTTTCACCTCAGTTTGTTTCACAGTTACCACAATATTTCTCCAAAATTCAATTAGACTGTTAATAACACAAATCTTGAAGTGTATAGAAATTTACGGATGCGGAAATATTTGTAGTAACCATGGACCTATACTTAACCATGGTAGTAACTCGTTCTTTGAGTTCTTCTCCTATCAGATGTTGGACAATATCATGGCAACCCTGATTTTAGAGGGTGCCGCTCTAAAGAGCGACGTGATACTCCAGCTGAACCAGATATAGTAATTACTATACCATAATTAGCATTCTGTGTGAAGTAGAAGTAAAGGTCTGTAAAAGAGTTTGTCCAGGGAAGTACTGCACCCATTTCTGCCGCCAAAAGGTAATGTGAGCATTACTGCGATCCGGTTTTGAAGGGTGCTGGTGAAATTACGCGACACGTCTCTGGGGGACTGACGCAGTTTCAGTGTCCCTTAGATTTTTGCGATTTAAAGGCCTGAGTGGCACTGCAACTGCTGTGGATAGGCATGTCGCTAAACGCCTGTAGGGTTAGCACGCGACTTGCACGTAACTCGCGCTGTATGTCACCCTCGCACAAGTCACACCCTACCGTGCTAACCTTACAGGCGCGCACGACTTACTCGTACCATCTGAGTACATATTTAATAGACTGTCAAATATTTATTGAATATCACAATTATTTTTTATGTGAAATTACTCCACTACTTTGTTATAATTATTTATACAAAGACGGGGCTGGTAGCTGTAAAGATATCTAACCGGGTGACGAAATACTTTTATAGATTTCTCATAGATATAATACAAAGATACGACAACTAGCACGTGGAAAAATTCATGAGGTCCACTGGTTCGTTCCGTGGCTTAGTTGGCATAGCGTCTGGCACGATTTGCTTAAGACGTCGGTTCGAATCGTTAAGTTTTTATTAGACAATAAGTTGGAATATACAATAAAAGCTTAAATACTAGAAAGTAAAACAAGGATTTTTAAATTATATGAATAAAATTGGGTCCTTTGTCCTACGCTAATGCGTTGAGCAAGACAGCCCTTGGGTTTCCCATGGGATAAATTTCCTCTGAGTTAAATGTCATCAAAGTTTTTAATGTTATTTATAATTCATGGCCACGCTACCGACCTGAGGGCCTTGTCTTAGCATCTAATAGTCTGTGGCCTTGTCCCAACCCATAATCGGATCATGGATATTA